GGGCAGGGTTGACCAGCAGGGGTGACGGGGCCGCTGGTGCGCTCCTCACCCGAGCCGGTGGTCAGTTTACCAGCGGCAGCTGTGAGGCCATGGCGCTCCTGCAGGCACCAGGCAGGCCTGCGCGAAATCCGGGCGCCAGCGCGGCCGCGCCCGCGCGCACGTGCAAACGCCAGACATGCCGCGCGGCTCGCGTCCGCAGCGCCGGCTCGCCTTCTTCGCCAACCCCCTCTCTGCGCCGCTCGCCTGCCCCGCCCGCCGCCATCTGCGCAGGTTCAGGACGGCTACCGCATCACGCCCCTGGCCCAGTGGGGCAGCGCCAACGTCACTCTGCCCCCATACAAGCCGGACCCCTCAGTAGACACAAAGACAGACCCCCTCAAGCAGGCGCGGCCCCACCAAACTCGCCCTCTTTAGGAATCCCTCCCGCCTGGCTGAGCACGGCGCGGCGGCCCCGGCGTCCAAGTCGGGAGGGCGGCGCGCCCAGCCGCCGGTCTCTGTACCTGGACAGCCGCGGCCCTGGCAGGACTGCGTCTAGTGTGTGTCGCCCGGCGTGCTTCCGAGGCAGCAAGCGGATGGCACTCCCGGCCAAAGCCGCGACAACAACACCCGCCTCACTAGATTTTCTGGCCTCGGATCATCCATGAAGCAAGCCCAGGGCCTTTGTTTGCCGCGTGGCGCGCGCGCGCACACACACACACACACACACACACACACACACACGGCTCCGACCGCAGGTCAACTCGTTGCCGGCCGATAAGTTTTTCCCTTATGCCGCCAACCTGATGAAGACCCACCGCCCCCACATCACGGACTGGTCCCAGACCGAGAGGATCAGGCGATTCCTCGGCATCGAGCCCGGCAAGGCGCGCACGGCCCCACACACGCCCGTGCTCGCCCGCCCCACCACCGCGCGCGCGCAGCGTGCAGCTGCAGCGCAGCGGACGCGCGGCCCGGCGCGCCGGGCCGAGCAGCTGCGTGCGTCGGCCCACAGGCCGCGGCCGCGCAGCTCAGCCTCACCCCACACGGCCCCCGTGCGCTTCCACTTCAGTCACTTTGGCCCCAAACCTTGCCCACTTCACTCCGCCCATCCCGCTGGCCAACCCCAGGGCTTTGACTGGAAGTCGGCGTCGCCCCAGGTGCAGGGGGCCCTCACGCGCGCCACCAAGACGGGGCTGGACACGATCACAGCAAAGGTGCCCACCATTGCGCCCATAATCAACGGGTGGCAGATGAACACCAACACCATGGGCGTATACGGCAACTGTGAGCGTGACGCAAGGGGGGTTGGGGGTGGGGTAGGGGGATTTGGGATTTGGCGGGCGGGGGCAAGGGGGGGGCACCCCGGATTGCGCACATGCCCCAAGCGACGGCTGTCTGTAGTAGTCGGACAGGGGCGACACTGCCGCCTGCTTGCATGAATAGCGCACTGCATGTGATCAGCGATGCGCGGCAAAGCGCCCGAATCGCGGCAGGCGCGGCGTCCCGCGCTGCGGCGACACGCACGTGGTCGTCGCCGAAATTCATCACAAGCAGTGCATGATTCGCACCCGCTCACGCTTGCGCACCTCCTCCCTTCCCCCCATCCCCCATAAACAATAATCCACAAAATAAGACTACCTCAAGCGCGCCGCCGTGGCGCTCCTGGGCCTGGGCGCCAACCAGCCGGAGGACGCCATCTACCCCATCGCCCTGGCCGACGCCGACGGCAAGAAGATCGCGTCACCCACCAAGTACACGCTCACCTTTAGTAAGGGACAGCTGCCGCCCGTGGGCGCCTTCTGGAGCATCACCATGTACGACGCGGGTGAGCGGCGGCGGGGCCGCGACGCTCGTGCGTCGTCCGTTTGACCGCTGTCGGCTTTGGTTGACCGCCTGGATGTTGGCCGTTTTCTGCTGGCTCTGGCGAGATGGGACAGTGCCGCTCAGGGAAAGGCGGGTTGAGCCTGACTGCCGCCGGCGCAGACAGCAGGGGGGGCCCATCCCCGCGGCGTGGGCGGGCCTGCAGCGCCTCATGTAAGTTCCTGACGCTTCCATGCCTGCTGCCTGCAAACATCCGCGACCATCTCCCCCCCCCCCTCGCACGCAGAGGGCTACCAGGTCGCCAACCCCCTCAACCGCTTCGCCCTGGGAGACAGGGACAAGCTGCAGTACGCGCCCGACGGCTCCCTCACCATATACATCCAGCCCGACGCGCCGTCCGACAAGTCAAAGCAGTCAAACTGGCTGCCCGCACCCAAAACCGGGGAGCTGGGGATCACAATGCGCCTATACGCGCCGAAGGCCGCCGCGCTGCAGGGCGACTGGGTCCCGCCCGCCATCAAGAAGGCCGCGTGACTGCAGCCGCCCGTCCTCCCCCCCTGCCCGGCGGCGCCGAACGCGCGCCCCCCCGTGTGCGGGGCTGCTCTCGCGCCTGCGCCGCGCGGCGCGCGGCGCGCGGCGCTCGGCCGCCGGCTCCTGCCGCAACGAAAGACTCGCCGCGGTCGCTCGATTAGTGTGCAAGACAGAGCTTTGTCCTGCACTGGGGTGCCTCTGTCGTTGATAAAAGTCGGTTCCGCTTCGCTGGTGTTCGGGCTGCTGCAGAGACCCGTGCAGACGCAGGCCGATCAATGCAACCCCCCACTATTAGTGCGTGTGCTTCGTCGTGGTATTTGTCCTGCACTGAGTGCGCTGGATACACGCTACCACAATCAAACATTGGTGTCAGGCTGCGCAGGCCACATCCAACACGGTTATTGTTTGGGGTTCACACACACCACGCAAACTGCAGCAGCGGCCGCGCAATCATGGGGGGACAAACAACCTTGAACAAAGAGCCTTTAAAGCGGTTGTGATAGTATATGTTGCACTGCGCACAGAGTTGCTGCGCTGTTTCCTGGTCTCCTTCTGTGGATGATGGCAGCATGGACCCCAGACTCACATGCACCCTAAAACCCCTTGTTGCGGTGCTCGCACGTTGTGAAGCGGTAAATCCGGCAGGGCCCCAACAGATATGGCGCCTGTTGCAGCAAGGGCACCACGCGCATATGTTCCAGCGCGGGCGGCACCGTGTAGCAATCCGACACACCCAAGCACGACCTGGCGCACTGCAGCGCCAAGGAGTGTGCCGCGCGGGTGCAACCTCGTGCCGCCGGGGGGACACTTTATGGTGTAATCCTTGGCCTTGGTACATCACGCATGCGCAGCGCCTCAGAAGCGCGGCCGCTGCGTCACCTCGTCCTGTTCGGCCGGCCGCTGCGATACGAGGTGCGCGAGGATGGCCGCCGGGCCATCCCCCGGCAGCGCGACCTCGTGCCAGGGCGCGTGCACCGCCAGGCGCCGGCCGGGCGCGAGGTCGACCGCGTGGCTGGCCTTGCTCTGAAGGATCAGCACGACGTCCCTTGGCTGCCGCCGCTGCTGCTGCTGCTGCTGCTGCTGCTGCTGCTGCTGCTGCTGCTGCTGCTGCTGCTGCTGCTCCTCGCTGCTGCAGAGGACCTTGGCGACGCCGCCCCCCCACAGGAAGGCGCGCACAGTCAGCCGCATGGCGCCTGACGGGGGGACCCGGGGTGACAGGCAGGCGAAGGAAATGAGAGTTGCGCAGGGAGGGGGTGCTTGAAACATTCATTGACGCCATCGCATGCAGACAGGTGCGCATGGATCCCACAGACATCCGCATACATCCCACCGACCCAATGGATGCGCCGACGCCCACCTTCCGGCGCCGGCGCGTCCGCCGCCGCGGCCAGCCGCTCCTGCTGCAGCTTCTGCAGCTGCAGCAGCTGCTGCATCCGCCACGCCAGGCTGCCCGGCGCGCCCGCTGCGCCGCCGCCGCCACCGCCGCGCCCCAGGCGCTGCTGCATCAGGAGGGACCCAGGAGAGGGCAGGGTCGGCTCGGGCAGGGCTGAGAGAAACTGCTGCTGCTGGGCGCGCTGGTCTGACAGCAGCTGCGCCGCGTTGGGGGTCGCCGCGTGCCCGCCCGCCGCCCCTGCGCCCGGGCCGCCGCCCGCGTGCGCCGACTGCGGCGCGCGGGGCGTGCGGTCCGGCCGGCTCCCGGGCGGCGGGGTGACCATTCCTGGGAGGAGGTGATGTTGCTGCTGCGTCCTCTTGCCAGCCCCCCTGCTGCCGCCGCCTTTATGCTTCCCGCCCCCGCCGCCTGCGCTGCCAAGGAAGTCCGCGGCGCCGCCTGTGCGGCTGACGGGCGCGCCCAGCAGGCGCGCCAACCCCGATGGCACGGGCGTGACGCACTCGATAGCCGCCTCGAGTCCGCCAGCCGCCATGCCATCAAAAACAAGGCCACCTGGCTGCTGCTGCTGCTGCTGCTGCTGCTGCACCATCGCTTCTGTCGGGTGCTCGTGTGCGACTGATGCCTCCTCCTGGTCACCAGCTTCGCTGCCTGCGTGCCGTTGCAGCGGTGGGCGACTCGAGGGCACACGCGCAGGCGACTGCCAGGGCGGCACCGGCAGCGGCGCCCCCGCCGCCTGGCTGCTGGGCGGCGGCGTGTCGTCCCGGATGACGAATCTGGGCTTCTTCGCGGTGCTGCCCCTCCCCTTGGCGCGGCCGACGGCCGACAGTGGTGTGGAGGGTAGCCCCGCACCCCCCACGCTACTCCGCCGCTTGGCTGCGGCCCCGCCGCCCCGCGTGCCAGCTGCTTTCGCCGCCTGGCTGGCGCCAGGAGTTGAGCGGACACCGAGCAAGGGGTGCGCGCCCGGTGTATGGGGCTGCTGCTGCTGCTGCTGCTGCTGCTGCAGAAGTGGGTGGACAGCCCCAGCGTCCGCTTGTTGCTGCTCCGGCGCGCATCTTTGCTCCTCCGAGAGAGTTCGCCTGCGCCATGGCGCTGCCGCCAGGCGCGGAGCGTCTCCCGCGTCGCTATTTGAAACGCGCCGCCGCGGCGCCTGAAGCCCACCCGCGGATGCGCGAAATTCACTGACGGTGCCTGCATGTGCCTGCTGCGTCAGGCTCTGAAGGTCGCCCAATAGGCTGTGCAGCTGCATGTCATTCCCCGTTTGATTCCCCACGCGCGCATTTCTGTCGCCGCCGCTGCCATTATCGCCCGGCTCTGCCAGCGCCGCCCGCAGTTGCTGGTGCTGCTGGTGATGCTGCCGCAGCCGCTGGGACGGCGCAACCGAGCGAGGCCACGGCGCCGGCGGGTGGAGTTCAGGATCATGCTGCAGATGCTCGCCTGTGGAGGAAGCCGGGCGCGGAGCTTGGGTGCCGGCGGTGCTCGCCGCTGTGCTGTGGGATTTGAGCGCAGCGCGCGCAGCATTGATGTCGCGCACCTGTGCTGTGCGGGCCTGCACCCCCTTCACGCTGCCTGGCCTGTGTTCCATGGACACCCAGCAGACGCGAGCGAGGGGTCCCGTCGTCCCATGAGACGTGCTGATCCAAGTCCAGCTCCTCCTCGTGGTGCCGCTGCGCCAGGAGATACATGTTCGAAGCATTGGCACTGATGAATTTATGCCGCTTACTATATACGAACTAGACTTGACCCTCAGCATACAGTATTATTTTGAATGCAGTGATCTGCTTGAGTGACCAGGGAGCAAAGTCCATGCGCGCGCTTCCACTGCCTGCACAGAGCGGAGTGCAGAGAATCATCACTAGGACGCGCTCCCGCTGTGGCTTCCTCCACGGCACCACACTCACAGCAGCGGCGCCCGCCTCGGCGCGGCAACCAGCCGCCCCGAGCACCTTGACCTTTGCGCGCCGCGTAGCAATGGCTGTGGCCGGAGGCGACCAGGAGGTTTCACTGCATGTCATTGCCAGGGACGCGGCAGTGCTGGAGGAGCTCAAGCAGCAGTTCGAGTCGGTGCGTTGGCGACTCAACATGCGCCCGCCCACTGTAGGCCCATCATTTGCATCACTGCCTCTCAGTTTTCTGATGAATTGCTGATGACTCAATGCCCAGCAACCTCATGCTGCCAGACTGGACCCCACTTTTCTCTCTGCCAGGCGGACGGCTATAGCTGCAGCCTATCCTGTCACGACCCCAGCAGCTGCCCCCACCTTGACGCTCCCGGCGGCTTTGACTGCGCCGGCTTCTCGGCCGCGCTCTCGACGCGCCAGATGGGCCGGCTGCTGCTCAGCACGCGCAGCATAGCGTCCACCCAGGAGTTCATGCGGCGCCATGCGGCGGTGCTGCCTGAGGGCAGCGTGATCGTTGCCGACCAGCAGACCTCTGGCAAAGGTGCGCAGGGCACGCCCTAGATCTGCGTTCCCTGCATGCCGCTGAAATGCCTCGTCACAAGGCCGCGCTGAGGTTGACATCCACACCTCAGCGCCGCTCCACGATCACGATCCCTGCGGCACCTGAGCACTGTGTTTGAAAACAGGCGCCCACGCGCGCGAGGCCCTCGCACCCAACACAGGCCGCGGCGGCAACCAGTGGACGTCGCCCGACGGCTGCCTCATGTTCACCGCCGGGCGCCGCCTGAAGGTCCCCGGCAGCCAGGCGCCCTTTATTAATTACCTCACCTGCCTGGCGGTGGTGCGCGGCGTGGCTGACGCCGCAGCCCCTTGGCTCAAGGTGCGCTGGAACCCTTGAACATGCCCCTTGAGGCGGTCGTAGTAAGAGCATGCGGCTGGTCGGCGGCTGCGCCACATCGGCGCCCGATGTGTGGCTGACGCTGCACTCGCTCCACGCCCACAGGCAGCATCAAAGCATGCTGAACCCTACCCAGATCAGACTGCGGTCAAACAGTAATCGAGTTTCGGTAAAACAACACTGACACATCCTGCAACATCATACTCGTCACGCGCCAGGGCGCGGCGCCGGACGTGCGCATCAAATGGCCCAACGACATCTACAGCGGCGGCCTGAAGATCGGCGGCGCCCTCATCCACACCACCTGGCAGACCGACCGGTTCAGCGTGCTGGCCGGCATCGGGCTAAACGTCTCAAACCGCCAGCCGACCACCTGCCTGGAGGAGGTCCTGGCCCGCCAGGCCGCCTCTGCCGCGGAGCAGGGGACTGCAGCGCCGGAGGTGGTGCTGTCGCGGGGCGCCGTGCTGGCGCACGTTCTGAACCACCTCGAGCGCTGCTACGACGAGTTCGAGGCGCGCGGGTTTGCTGGCCTCGAGGCGTCCTACCTCGAATCCTGGATGCATTCTGGCCAGCAGGTCGAGGTCGAGGCCGGCACGAGCGCCGCCGCGGCGCCTGGAGAGGCCAGCGCGGCGGACGCCGCGCAGCGCGTGCGCCTGACGATCCGGGGGCTGAGCGAGCACGGGTTCCTGTTGGCTGTCGATGCGGCGGGCGGGCGGTGGGAGCTGACGCCGGACGGCAACAGCCTCGACATGCTGGCTGGGCTGATACGGCGGAAGCTGCCGGGGTAGCTTCTTGTGCACGTGCAGGGGTGGTGGTGCTTTGCCTCGTCTTTCTGTCGATGCTTCCGTGCTGGTTCAATCCTGTCTATATGGGCAATCACAACCTTGCACATATTCTCCTGCTTGTTGCATCACACTTGCTTGGTGCTGGACAGACTAGAACGGTCGCGCACCATTGTTCAATTTTCTTGTGCACATTGTAAGGACTGGTGTGGCATCTATCAAGGCGCAACCCCCTCTGCAGAGGCTTTGGGGTGCGCGCCAACGCCGCATCAACCAGTTGAGCACACGAAGCATCCACAGCCTGGACGCGTAAGCCGGCACGCACACATCAACGCGCTCGCGCGCCGTCGCACGCGACCGCGCCAGCCAGAAACACCTGCACGTCCTCGCGCGTGGACAACCACACGCCGGCGTCGCCCGTGCCCGGCACGGCCTTCACGCGCAGCGAAAGCGCTGCCAGGCGCGGCAGCTGCGCCAGGCCCGCTGGCAGCGCCATGAGCCGCGGGCACCGCGAGACGCAGAGCTCCTCCAGCTCAGACGCGCCGCCCAGCGCCTCGGGCAGCACTGTCAGGCGCTCGCAGCCGCTTATGCTAAGGGACGCCAGGTGATTGAAGCTGCTGGCCGCGGTCGGCAGCGCGGCGAGTGTGCCGCAGCCGGAGACGCTGAGCGACCGCAGCGCGGGTGGCAGCGCCGGCCCCAGCGACGCGAGGGCGCGGCAGCTTGTAATGCTTAGCCGCTCGAGCCGCGACAGGCGGGAGACGTTTGAGGGCAGAGCAGCCAGCGAGTTGCAGCTCTCGAGGGCGAGCAGCTTCTGCAGGCGCTCGAGGGAGGCGATGATGTCAGCGAGCGCCTCGAGCAAGGGGCAGCTTCTGACCAGCAGCTGCCGCCGCGGCGATGCAAAGAGGGCGCTGCGCGGGGCCGCAGTGGCAGCTAAATCGGGCGCCGCATCGCCTCCTCTTGATGGATTCGCCGGTCGAGCCGGCGCCGGCGCCTGTGCCGGCGGCCCGAGCTGCAGGCTCGACATGTCCCCCAAGAACAGGTCCTTGAGCCGAGGGAAGGCTGGGGCGCCGCCGCGAGCGCCCAGCGCGCCGCAGAGGGAGCTGAGCGCCGGGCAGTACTGCAACGTCAGCAGCTCCAGCGCCGGGAACGGCGACGCCTGTGCCACAGCGGCAGCGGCGGCGGTGCCGCGGGATGAACGCGAAGCAGACGCGGGGCTGCCGCTGCCCTCCTGGAGGGGCGCGATAGCGGAGAGCTGAGGGCAGTTTTGGGCGACGAGCGCCGTCAGGGCGGGCAGGCGGCAGACGCCGCGGGGCAGCGCGGTGATCTTTTGGCAGCCGACGAGCTGGAGCTTCCGGAGGGCGGGAAGCTGCCAGACGGCGCCCGGCAGCTGCTGCAGGGGCGCCAGGTCAATGTAGAGCCTCTGCAGGCTCGCGGGCAGCCCGCCGCCGCCACCCTTGCTGCCGTTGCAGCAGAGGGATGTCAGCGCCGCGCAGTTTGACACCCGGAGGGCTTCAAGCAGCGGCAGTGCCCCGAAGGCGGCGCCCAGGGACGGCAGGGCGCGGCAGGCGTACACCCACAGCACCCGCAGGCTCGGCGGCAGGGCCCCGTCGCCGCCGCCTCCTCGCGAGGGCGTGCCGCCCAGGGATGCCAGGGCGTCGCAGCGCCAGAGCCACAGCCGCTCAAGGCGGTCCAGCGAGCGGATTGCCTGCGGCAGCTCCGAGAGCTGTGGGCAGTCGCAGAGGGTGAGTGTCTGCAGCGCCGACGGCGCGGCGAGTCGCGATTGGTCAGCGCACTCGGAAAAGAGCAGCTGCGCCGTCGGTGGGGGGCCGTCCGCCTCGCCGTCTTCGTCATCTGGAGCGTATTGCGCCCGTCCCTCGCCACCTCCGCCGCTGCCCTGGTCGCTGCCATCAAAGTCAACGTCAGCACCGCTGCTGCTGGCGGCCGCCGCTGCCGAGACGATGTCGTCCAGATCTTCCTGGCACTCAGCTGCCTATGAGAGTCGATGGTGCGATGATGGGAGCAGCTGGTGAAATGGGCCCCCAACGTGCCCCCGCTGGGGGCTGGCGGCAGTCGGCGGCGCCAGCCCTCCAGAGCCAGGCAAATGCGCGCCTTGTGAAGCCGAGCCGAGCGCCCCCGCCTGCCCGGCGAGCGGCGGAGGCGCCCGTCAGGCACGGCGCGCGCACGACGCGCGCGGCGCGCGCCCTTGCAACCTGACCTCACTGAAAGCATCTCACCTCGCACGATATCCACTCGCCCATGACGGTGCTGCCATCGCTGCCGCCGCCCTCCTTGTTATACTCGCTCATGTCGCTTTCCTCGGATTCGCCCGCGATGCTGCCGTCGGCAGCACCGCATGCCGTGGCTTCTGGCGCTGATGCTGCTGTTTGGGATGCTACTTAAGTTTCTCTGCTGCTGCTGGCTGCGCCTGGCCAGCCTTGCAGCGAGGGGGCGCCGGGAACCACTGTGAACCCCCCTGCCCGCGTCAGCGGACTGACGGACGGCGTTGTGGACGGCTGGGCAGCGCCGCGGCTGTCGCCTTCATGGTATCGTGGCAAATCATCTGGGCATTTCCTGTTTCTCTTTGTCGATCTGTGCCCAGGACATGAAGGAAGCAAATGACTCGGATCCCGCAGATCTACCGTGTCGCAGTAGGAGTTTGGGTCACAACAGCAGACAAGATCAAAAATGATTTTTTTTATCGATTAGCTGGCGCACGTTAGAAACGCGTCATGAGAGGCTTCGTTAGCAGCTGGCATAACCGCTTCAGTTCCATGACGTGCCCACACTGCGCATTGCACAGTCATGTGATATGCAGTGTTTTGACCCCATGTCATATGGAGCTCAATATTGGGCGCTTTTCCGACAGACGTGCAACCATGTGCTGCGGTGTGCGTAGCAGCGGCTTCCTGCGTGTGAAACCTACCCCTGACTGTTGCCCTGACAAGCGCCCTCCGACACAAATTACTGGTAATCATGAATCTGGGTTGAAAGCAGTGATACAGGTGAATTTGACATGCCCACGAACATACCGCATTTGGCATGGTGTAGAGTACATCCACCATGAGCTTTGTACATCTATGCTTCGAGCATGACATTCTCACAAGCCCAGGCAAAACACCGACCAGACTGGCTACCCTGTTGGCTTTGTAGGCCAACCCAGCCGAAAATGGGGGAGTCTTACCCATCCTGACAACGTCATCGGGGTTTCAGGTCAACCCATCAATGAAAATAGGGCCACAATTGCCGCTTGCAAAGACCATCATGACGGCGGGGGACCAAGGTGCTTGAGAATGAATGCTGCGGCCTCCTGCACGCCCTCCACCGCCTCGGGCAGCCCCAGCGTGCCCTGGGCGCCCGTGGCCCAGACGTGCCACCTGGCGGGTGGAGCACGAGGGTAGGAGCGCAGTCAGGGGGGGGGGTAGTGAGGGGCAGGCAGTGGCCCATTGCACTTAGTAAGACTGATCAAAAGCAGAGGTGGGCGTGTGCAGATTAGGGTGTTCAGCAGCAAAAACCTGAGGACCAATCAACCTCTCAGAGCCATAGCTGTGGGTGGGAAGCACCTCCATGCGCAAAGCCCAAACAACTGGGCAGCCTTGACTCACCCAAGTCAGCACGCAAGCGGGCTGCAACAACAGAGTATGCAGCGTACAACATCCAGCCACATGACGGCGCTACTCACATGCCGTCGTAAACGCTCAGCTCGACCTCGAGCCCGCCCCGCCGCATCTGGCGCGCCAGAATCGCCGAGTCGCTCAGGAGCAGCTCCCGGGTGCCCACCAGGATGAGCACCGCCGGCGGCTTCCGGCCGGCTTCCGAGGCTGCGGCGGAAGCCGCCGAGAAATCGCCAAACGCGGGTGACACCAGCGGGTCGTCCACTCCCAGGTCTGAGCCTGACGCGTACCACTTTCCGGCTGTTGTGAGGGTGTCCACGGAGATGAGGGGGTCGACACACTTCAGGGTGGCGTGTGTGTCCGCCCTCGACGAGTTCAGCACCGTCCACGGCGAGACCAGCACCGCCGCGCCCGGCTGCGGCAGCCCGTCAGAGGCGGCGCGCAGCAGGAGCGCCGCCGCGAGGCCGCCCCCGGCGGAGTCGCCGGCGACGGCAATGCGGGACGGGGCGTGGGACTCGAGGAGGGCGCGGTAGACCGCGGTGACGTCATCGAGGCCGGCGGGGAAGGGGTGCTCTGGCGCGAGGCGGTACTCTACTGAAACCACCTTGATGCCTGAGAAGAGGGATTGTTTGAAATGGGGCATCTTTCAGGGGCGTCCGGGGTTGCGTGGCGCCCATGTGGAACAGAAAGATAGTGTCTGATGCAACAAAGCTGTGGGGGAAGGCTCAGGCGCCGCTGGCAGGGGCGGGCAAAGTGCAGGAGTCAAGGTGGCACGACTGCAAGGGTCGGCCATCTTGGCGATCGCTGCCGCGGCGCCAGCGCCTCTGTCGCCCGGGCAGGCCGCTCTGTGAATCAGGCCCCACCAGTCGCGGCGGACAGCGGCGCGTAGGTGTGGGCCATCCCAAGGGCCGAGCCAGCGATGTAGGCGCCGCCGTGGATGTACAGGATCACCGCCGTCTCGTCCATAGCAGTAGGTCCTGCCGCGCTGGGGGTGCCGTCGAGCGCCACGCCGAGCTTGGGGGTCGACCGCACGACCGGGACGCCGGCTATGGTGGTTTCGCTGTCGGATGCGACGAGCGCCTCGCGGTGGCGCTCGGCCGAGGGGCCGCAGAAGGCGGCGAGGATCCCGCGCGTGAAGGCGGCGCCCTCGGCCTGCGGCAAGGCGCTGATCGGCGGCGAGCGCGGGGCGTCGGCGCGGGCGGCCAGGAAAGCGGTGGCTTCGTTGCTCAGCGTGGTGGGCAGGACTCGGGCGAGCGCCGCGGCAGCTACACATTCCTCGTTTATGCTGCTGGCGCGTTGGCTGACGGGCACCACAACGGTAGTCTCGTTGTTCGTGTATAGCTGCCGGATCGCCCCAGAGCAAGCGAGTGCCAAGATCAGGCCCAATGCGGCCCAGCCCAGCATCCGATCGAGAACCATGCTGATCCGCAGCGTGTAGCTCACGCAGAGGAAAGGTTTATTGCTCGAAATATGGCGCGGTGCTTGCATAAGGAGCCGCTCACGAGCATCACCCGCGGCGTCACTTCATCACTATCATGTCACGGGTCGGTCGAATGCCACGACAGTAAGCACACTCTGCGGCTGGCAGCCTGGCTGGCACGGGCACTGCACGCCGTGTTGATCAAGGCGGTGCATGTGTTTCTGTGGCACACTGGGTACCCAGTCATAGCATGACCGTCGCAGGGCTGGCTCTTTGGTCAAAGCCATACGGCCTATTCAATGGGCCATCACAACTGCCATTGGAAGGTGGTGAACAGAGGTCACTAGACGCATTTGTTACTTGGCACAATGAATAGGCACCTCCAACCAAAAAAGTCAGGAGTAGTTAAATTTGCCCGTGCGGACCGAGAAGGAATGGGCTGCGGTGTTGGGGCTGCGCTGCAAACACATGGAGTGAACAGGGGGGCCCCAGGTCACGCCACTGGTTTCCCCCTCGGGCAAACATGGAACTCCATGCAATTGCAATTGCATGCGTTCGATAGTAAGACGCCGCAAGTGTACGTGCACATCGTTCAGGAGTGCAGGTGCGGTTCTATTGCGCGCTGGCTGGTCGTCGTCTTGACGATTGGGGGCCCACGGCGTGACGCTGCTGGGGGGGTCAAACGCAGCCGTGTGACCGCTCAAGCAGCATCCCCAGACGCGCCCCTTCATCCTCTTTCACACCGTCAAATGCGCCACCCCTCCTCTCCCCTCCTCAGCTACAAATCGTCTCCCCACTCCCAAAACCCTCCGTGCCCCTCCCACCCAGCTGCCCTTTGACGAATCTGTCAACAGGGGCTAGGCAGACGCAAGCTCAGCAAATCGTCAAGCAGACACGATTCACGGTGACGGCCGCCCATGTGACTGCCCACAGCCGCTATGTGGCGAACAGCGCCAGACAGAAAATTCGCGTGTGGGTGCAAACGTCAAAACTCCAATCGTGCTGGAAATTACGCAGACGCCGCCAGCTTCTGGGCGGCTTCCAGGCCGGCCCCGTCCGCGGCGGCGCTGGCGTCGTCGGGCCCGCCGTCGCCCGCCCCCGGCGCGACGGAGCGCGCCTTGCGCGCCCGCCTTGCCGCTGCGAACGAGACGGCAGCGCCGACAACGAGGGCCAGCGCCAGGGGGCCGAAGAGCAGGGCGGCGCCCCATCTGCGCATTTGGGGCGGTGCGGGCAGGTGAGCGCATGTGAGCGCGTGGGTCACGGCGGTGTTGGCGGTAGCATCGGGTCGAGCGAGACACCACAAGCGGACGCACAGCATATAACGCGCCCCAAACAACAGTGGATTGCAAGGCAGGCGAGCAGGCGCGCCGAGGCGGCTAACATGGACGAGCCTGATCGAAATTTAAGCAAGGGATTCGATGCAACTCACCCGGCAGGCCCCATCTTGGCCCAGGGCAGTCGGGCGTATCGGGGGTCGTGCACTGGCAGGTATGTGAGGGGCTGGCCAGCGCCTTTGAAGTGCGGCGTGTCAATCTGCTTGTACACGGCTGGCCAGGATTAAATGAGGGGGTGGGGGGGTTGCGCAGGTTAGGAGGGGGGTGTCGGGGGATTGCGAAGAATATGTGGCGAGAGGGTAGCTGTGATAGACACAACGCTTCAACAACCGAGGTAGGCGCACCAAACGCATGTCAGCAAAACGCCTTGATCGGTTGAAACAGTCTCAGAGTGGGGCTAGCAGCCGGCGCCCGCAAGTGGCGGATGTCTGGCGGGCGCGTCTGCACAACTGGCACCCTCTGGGACTCTTTTGGCCTGTGCGCACTCACGGTATGTATAGCAAGTGAAGTCGCCGCTCTGGTTGGACGCGAAGATGCGGCCTGCAGCAGCATGACGTAGACGGAGGGTCGGGCGCATGCGCTTGGCAACAGACACGGCTTGCTGGGTGATGGGGAGGGCCGCAGCTGGGGCGGTAGGCTTGCCGCTTGCGGCCAGGCATGGCTCACAAGCCTCGGTCATTGGGGCAGCAGCCCAGCAGCTGGCCAAACTTCAAGCCTGCATGGCCGCTGAGTTTTGATGCTGCAAGTCCAACCCACCAACCCCGGCATCAACACTGGTGACCCCCACCCCCGGGTGCCCCCTGTGCCAAGGACACGCCGCTCACCGACGATGTTGATCCACGATACGAAGAAGACCGACCCGTGGAGCGCCTTGAGCGAGAAAAACCGCTGCGCAAACGTCTTGCCGGCGGCGATGCGCCCGGCCTCGCGCGATATGAGCGCCCCCAGGTCGCCGCCGGGGACGTCCCCGCCCTCCGCCTTGATCCGCTGCTGCGCCGCCTGGGTGGCCGCGGCCCGCATCCTGTCCTTATGGATCACAATGGCTAGCCACCCGACGGTCAGCCCACCGAGCACCCAGACGAATGAGATCAGCACTGCCGTCGGCAGGCCGGCGTTGTGGACGAGGAGGGACGTGCCCGTGGCCCAAAGCATGAAAATGATGTAGAGGCGGCCCATCCAGGGGTGGATGGGGCGGGCGCGGGGCCAGGCGCGGCTGAGGAGGGCGAGGGCGCCGGAGATGGCGACTAGGTAGCAGCAGATGACGTGGGCAAAATAGGCGCCCCTGAGGCAGGAGTACTTGTCGTCATGGTAGGTGAAGGTGGGGTCCAGCCTGGGCGGGTAGGTGGTTTTTGGGGGTAGGGGTGGGCGGGGTGGAGGGAGCTCGAGGGTGCTGCTTGCTGCTAGGGTGGCGCCAGGCAAGGGGGCACGTGTGGACGGTGCCGCGGCGAGGCGCCGCTCGGGGGTATGGACGGGTGGTGTCAAGGCGGCGCTTTGATCACCTGGAATCGAAAGCCTCCGCGGGCACGAGCGCTGGGTCAAACATGGCTGGCGCTGGGTCTGCGACTGTCAGCCACCTGCGCGTGATGTTGGTGGGTGTTGGGGTGAAAGCCATGCGACGCACAAACAGCGCCCGTCCGCTGGGCCGCAAAACGCTGCAGTGTCCAGCGCCCGTCGCTGCAACCACGGCGCAGGTGGAGACGATTGCATCTTGAAGCGGCGATGAGTGGTGCAGCGAGAGCAGCGTGCAGTGCGCGCCGCCGCCGCATGCGACAAACGCCCAGTCGGCCTCGATTTCAGCCATCCCAGTTGCCGGGCAGCCCTGCTATCATCCTTGTCTTAGCATCTCTACAAAATCGACTGGTACTCGCAGCCTCAACGCGGATCGAACCAGGTCTGCTACTGATGACCATTTCCGCCAGCCGATGATAGGACAAGCACCTACCTAGGGTATGGCGCGTGAGCGCGCTCTAGACAGCCTCAACCACTGATTACGACTCCCAGAGGGATCGTGCAATTGTCCTTGAGACACCTGCCCGGAACGGTGTGCAGCTCTCCACGTACGTGAGTCGAGCTAATCCTTGATAATGATATTGAAAGCAAACGTAATCAGCTACGCAGGGACAGAAGGGTTGCCATATGCGTGCGTGCGGGGTGTTGACCTGACACATTCCTCGTTGGATGCGACTTCCGCTGCAGCGCGCCATGCATGGCAGCAGGCCGGTTGTGCGGCAGAAAATCCGCCCACAGCTGCACCTTATTTCAATGTATCAGGTGTATCTCACGCCAATTGAGCTCGAGCGCGGCGGCAAGGGGCACACAGGCAGCACCGGGCACACATGCATTTCTGGGCAGTGGGGGAATTCGCACATGCAGGGGTTATCACGCCCAGGCTACACCAACTGCTTGTTGCCGTGCAGCATGCCAGTCACATCTGACCCCACATCAACCTCTAAACTTTATTCAATGCAGAACCCGAGCATTTCCAGCAGCAAGATGACCAGTCCAAGGAGCCCACATTTGTTCCACTCATGGCCTGATAACTTTGCTGCAGCCGCTATCCAGCGACCGTGCTGTCCACGAGTTGCAGGGCACAACCGAGTGCAGTGTAACACGATCACTTGCAAGCATATGCCCAGACACGCTGGCTTGCATGCGCGCCAGCCGGCGTGGGCCACTAGACTTTCTACAACTCAAGGATGAACATTCCCAAGGAAATTGACCGGCAAACATTTGCGCCGAACTATCTCTAGTCACATTGAGGCTATCACCCGCAGCTCTATGCACACTGCAGCGCAGTGAAAGCGTGCCGCCCACCTGAAACGCATCTGCACGTCGCGACACGCGCGCAGGCGGGTGTCCGGAAGCAGGCTTGGCAGGGCGCCATTGCATGGAGGCACAAACCTCCCGTGTTGGCGGCAATGGTTCGCAATTCACACACGAATGTGCACTCAGGGGAGGCAAGCCAGGCAGCGGATGCTTCGCCGCTTGCAAAGACACCACCACCATGCTCCAAAACTTGCAATCAAGACAATGCATGCGGCCACAGATGCCGCCTTGCTGGAGCGACCCTCCGATGACCCGGGCGGGGACCCAGCGGCGCCAGCGAGCGAGGGCTGCTGTCGTGCACAGGGCGCAAACAGCGCCGGTGGCACGCTGCCCGGTGCTCTGCAAACCTGGGGAATCCAACGCCGAGCGCGGACGCGGCCTGCAGCGCGCCTGTGGCGAGGCGCACCGGCGCGAGAGAGGCTCGCGCAACAGGCACCGCCGTTGATGATGGCTCATCGCACCCCAAGATCCTGTATTCAAGCCCATAAAAGCTGCCAGGGCGGGACCACTTGGGCTGCGACAGATGGGGGTCATCGTCCCGACCCTTGAAGGGCGCGCAGGCGCCACCGCAGCTGCCAATGCCGCCGCTCAGTCGATGCGCACGGGCATGCCGCAGACCGATGCGACGGGGATGACTGTTGGGTGGCGCTGCCCCGCGTTGGCGTCCAGGGGGGTGAATTTGAAGTCACGCGTCAGCGCCGCCAGCACGATGCGCGCCTG